TAGATCACTTAAGCAAGGCACTTTTTTGTTTTAGGATAATTTCAAAGTGTCTTTTCAGGTTCGAGAACTGGCGGTTATGAACAAAAGATTCTAAACGATGATAAAAACATCGTGTGCAGATAGAGTGCTGTACTGCAACCTATTTACATATGTATAATAATAAATCAGCGACGTGCAGAGTTGACCCTTGGATTTGGTCCATTTTATCAGAAGTTCCATGAATAAAACATTTGTTACACGCTGCACTTCATTTGATACACGCTTTGATGCAGAATATTACAACCCAAAGCAAATATTACATTTCAAACCAAATCAAATGTCAACCCTGCAAGTTTTAACTTTAACTGCAAGTCAAAACTATACGCAAAACTTCGACACACAAGACAACGTTGACATGGGTGCAGGCGCTGGCTAACACGAATCTGATGTCTTTTCTGGGAGTGCGTCCAATCTCATCGTAGACGGTTGTTACGAGGCACTGAAATTAAATGAAAAATGAAATAAATTAAACAAAATTCATAACAATATCTAAGGATCTGACAAAATGAAATATTTAATAATATAAACAAACTTGTTTGGTTTTTGACTTTCTTAGTTTTACATTATTTTGCGTATTTTGTGGGTAGTGTGATATAAATTCAGCATTTTATTGCTACATGTGCTTATTAAAACCTCTTCAGAATGATTCTACCAATTACTTTATTCCAATGCATCCACACTTAAATAATTTCGTAATCCGAATGCTGGCACTTTAGCTCAACTTTTTAAAACCAAACACTTAATGGAAACATTTTATTTCAGATTATAATATCAAGGACGGTATGTAATTGAAATTGAAATCAGGAAAAAATGAAGTCAAGGGAGGTCGACATTGCCCAGCAAATATACATTTGCTTTACTGGTCGGGGTTAGTTCTCTTAAAAACCACTTGTTTATTGTCAGTTAACTTTAATAAACAGGATACATGTGTACAAGCCGCTGTCATAAAAAAGGCACCCATTGGGAGCTGAGAATGTACCGGTAGTTATCTGCTTTGTCGTCTTGCTTTGTTTAAGACGGAATAACGCGTTCAGACCTTTGGACGGCTGGGATAATCTTCTCACTTCTTTATGAGCAAATACTTTTCTTCTGGAAAAAGCAACATAAAAAGTTGTTTAACTTGTCAAGCTCATTTCGGGATTCATGTCAATAAAAATACCCAAGAGCCATTACGCCTGAAGTGGGAAATGCATACTTTTGGATAAAATATCGTCATCATAAACCTAGCAGTGTTGCCTTATATCATCTATACAGTACTTACAACAAACTACATCAGTTCTCAGTGCCAAAATTTCAGTCTACGTGTGGAAATTGTGGCAATGTGGTACATGAGGCTTCTTCCTCTTCCTTCTGACCTTGGTCCTATCTGAATACCTCTCACCAAAATGCTCACCTGGTTTACATAATAATAGCACTGACTGTGGGATTGTGTTAGAGAAGACACGATGCGGCTTAACACAATCTAAAACATTACCATTAGATTATTGCACAAACAACCCATTTTGTTTTGTCCATAGACTTTCAACCCAAATGAATGAGGTTATTATTATTAAAGCATCCCAATTAAAACATGCTGTCGCCTATTGCTCTAGCACTGTAAATATTTAACACTAGAGTTGTGGCGACTTAGGTTTGTACATGTATATCTAACATTTTTATTTTTATGCAGCAGCACATATGAACTCAAATATGCTTCTTAGAAAAAACAAATCACATAAGAATCAGTTTACTGAGTTACGCATCATTCGTGTTCAAAGGTATTGTTTTCTGATTTCATTGTTTGTTCTCTGTTGTCGCGACTCTGTGGTTGCGTGCGACGTTGTATATGTGCGCACGCTTGTTTTTACGTCGCTTATTCTTCTTTGTTACGTTAAAATGATACATACGTTACCATGAAGCGTGTAAATATTTATTCTATTTTCATTGGTTTTCTTTCGCTTTGTGGGCCAACTCTTATGTCTTTTATTTGTGATTCATTAAAATAGTGTTGGCGCACAAAAGGAGAGACAACCAATGAAAATAGAATAAAAAATATTTACACGCTTTATGGTAACGTATGTATCATTTTAACGTAACAAAGAAGAATGAGCGACGTAATAACATGAGTGCGCACATATACAACGTCGCTGACTTGATATCTGTAAGATTCTGCAGGGAGAAATGGGAGACATGGCCTAGTTTTTTACCTCTCAAAAAGTTTGCAATATACTTTGTCTTTCAGTGGTCCCCGATTCTTTAATATTACCAATGTTATCACTTTGAATCGCATAAAACACTTTTGGAAGTAAAAGAATCATATTAGAAACTATCATTACACTTTCTTTTTATCATTTTATTTTTATTCATCTTAGTATTGCCATTGACATATCTACTAGTGCCTCAATTTAGGACTCATTCCCAATGACATTATTGGTCTATGTAAATCGATCCAGCTCCACAGGGACTCTTGCTGAATGCAATTGGATTGGCTCGGCTCCTTTTGTTTATAACATGCTTGTATAATGACCACATTTTCCATTTTCTACTCAAAGCTAGGGGGTGGCATGCTAATCTCTTAATTTGATTGCATTCAACAGGAGTCCCCCTGAATTGATCTACCTAGACAGATAAAACACTGAATGCACTCTTATTTTTATTGGGACTGAGTTCTTAGACCTAAATATTCTTACACAGTCATAAAAAACAACAACAAATAATAATATTATTATTTAATATTTATTTATAATTAAAAGTTGGTTGGTACATTTATAATGTTGAAATAATAATTTCAGAAAAACAAAGGTCAAATACATTTTCAAGAAGTGCATCAAAGTTGAAAGTTATGAATACAGTTGATTAAATCATATAATTACCTAACATAATATGTAAGTATGATAAATAATGACAAAAACTGCATTATAGACTTTCAATTTAATTTTCAAAGACTTATAAACACTGCACAGTTGTATTTATAAACATCTGTAAAGTACTTTTTAATAACATTTATGCATTAAAAATTCCCCATGTACATGTAAGTTTATAATTATGTACTTTGTACATATTTCATAAGGAAACAAAACAAAATCCTTAATTCACTACAAAGAGACTGTAGTTTGCAGCTTTTCAAATGTTCTCTCTCTCATCACTGTACATTCAGTGTGTTCAGTGATTTCCATATGAGACTACAGACACATATACAACTATGATCTCCACTACACTGATGAATACAATAGTCACATCATATTACCTGGTTGGGGTTATGTGTGTAAATGAAATATCTTTAATATGACAGTAAGTGTAAATGTAACTCTCAAGTGGTGAAAAACTGGAAAATTTTTATTTATCAAGTATCCTTCATCAGTTTTGTATACATACCTGTTGTAAGCATAAGTTTTACCCCCTACCCAGGTTCTGTATGATATTATTTGTCAATGAATACATTTAGAACAGCAGATTAACAGATCCGTGGATCAAATATGGCGACCCACTCAACACTAATGCTTATTGCTTAATCCCCGTGGGGAATCTATGCAGTGTCTAATCAGGAATTAAGTGGCAAGCTTTTTGGTGGGTTGCCATATTTGATCCATGAACTAGTTAGTCCACTACGTTGAATGCGCCCAATGAGGCATGAGAGAAAATATGACAACAGCTATAGGAGTCTGAAATTTTCTTAGTATTTAATTTCTCTTTCTCCCTTCTCTTTATCTATGCCTCTCTACAACTTCAACCCAGTTTCTCTTAAATAAAATTCTGCACTAATGAGCTTAATTAAATAGATAAACATACTTTGATTACAAACAGCTCCAGAATTACCAGGTGGGAATTTACTAGGTACCAGTACTTATAACAGGCATTAACAATGTGATGATTCAGTTACCATTCTGACTTGCTTTATTCAGTATTGGTTTATTTATACTACATGTACTATAGGCAAAGTAACTCAATGAATAACTTTGGATATTTAAGATAAGAATAAAAACTGTCGTTTCATTCAATTTTATTTTTAAAAATGTACATAAAATTACAAAGTAAGCAACAAAAGTAATAATAAGTACTCATCTTTTATTAAGGCTACAATGACATCACAACAAGACTGTACATATATGTATAAAAGCCTCAATATATTTATTGCCAAAATTTGCTAAATTCTTTATTTTAAAGAAATAATAATGAAATGATTTTCTCCATATTATTTATAAAAAATTGCTGCAGACATCTTTTATACTTAATTATCCTTGGGCAAACCATAAGATGAGCACTAACATAAGACTAGACAGCAAAGCTGACAAAATATACAGACACAAGACATAAAACATGTTGCAACAATAGAGTTCAATAGATTTTTTTCTGTGACAGCACCCAATATATACAAATATGGGCCAAGGTCTATGGGTCACCAGTTTTACCATTAGTTATATAATAGCTTCTTTCAATACTTATAAAACTGTACATGTGTATTTGTAAAAATAATCAAATTCTGCTAATTTGTAATTCAAGCAGCCTTTTACTAAACAAAGCCTCTCTGCAAATCTGATGTAAAACAAAAACATGGTTTGGTATTTATGGTAAGACTGTCACCAAAATACATGCAAAAATAAAATAAAATAAAATAAATAAATAAATAAATAAATAAATAAATAAATAAATAAATAAATAAATAAATAAATAAGGGGGGGGGGGGCATGCATCATGTTCAGAATAAACACCAGTGGATGACTGGGGATGGCTACAGGAACATGGACCCTATCTCTTGATGTCAGGGAGGGAAAAGAAATGATTGGAGCCTGGTACACAAACCTTGACAGCATTGAGACAAATCATCTCCAACAGAAGATTTCAGAAGGACATTATGAAGTTTCCCCAAATAAAGGCAGAGGATGATATTGTGATATTGATATTGTAACAAACCCCCCCCCCTCCTCATTTGGTTTAAGATCCCCTTATTCCTTATGGCCTACTGCAGCTCACTGTCGGGAGCGCACGTGGATCAAGAGACGCTCCCGATGACCTAATTACATAATAGACTTCATTAACTTTGTGCGCTGATTGGACATTGGTCTTGCAGCAGAAAATCCTCATTAGATCGTCACGATAAAGGAAACTAGTATAAAAGATCGTATTGTATTTGAATCGGGGTCAGTTGTTAAATAAAGCAGCGTTACATTGATTTATCCTTGTGGTTGACTTGGTTTCTGTCGCACACACTTACATGAAGTTTTAAACATCCGAATCAGTACAAGTCGCGCTGGCTACGGAATTTTTTCCGCGACACGGAATGCCCGAAATTATAATATCAGAGGCAGTGAATTTAGCGCGCACGAATTTCGCTCATATTTGCAAGGCCTGGGTATAGATCACAGGAGAACCACGAGTTTTAATCCGCGTTGTAACGGGAAAGTAGAAATATTCAATAAAACACTCAAGGGCTTGATCACCAGACCTGTAAATAACAACACGCGGCATGGGAGGAAAACATCGCGAACGCGCTTTTCGCCTATCGAACTAGCGTATCGGTAGCCACAAATTTTACCCCATTCTTCCTAGTGTACGGAAGAAGACCGCGAATGCCGCTGTCAGCAACCTTAAACGTGTTTTATGACCCCCTCGCGCTAAAAGGCTGTTTAAGTGACTTATCAGATGCCCTGATCACCGCGCGCGACAATTTACAAGCAGGCCGATTAGAAAACAAAAGACGGTATGACGCAAAGGCAAACGCAAACAAGATTGAGGTGGGTGATAGTGTGATCATATATGCACCTGATAACATTACATTTGGATCAAAGTGGGACCCCCAATGGACAGTGATGCGCCATAGAAATAACGTATTCTGGCTAATTAACCAACAGACCGGTAAGACCAGAGTAGTTAACCC